ACTCCTCAAAACAAAGTGGTTAGGCCTGAGATTCTGAGAGATACTTACAGAGAGATCATTGACAAGCATTTGCAGCTCAGCAATAGATAGCCTGGACTGCAAGGAGAAACTTGATCCTCAGAAGAGACAATCAGTGGAGATTGTAAATGGTCCCCTGAAAACTGCTCCTCCCTTCTGAGTGTGCAGGCACCCTGGACAGCCCTCCCTTTTCCCAGGCTGTCACCTCGAGGCCTCACCCTTGACAATGATACTATTCGGGTCCCATCTCAAAGAGCTACAACAGGGGAGATGTGCTCCAATCCCAAAAGCCATAGGAAACTGGCATTTAGGCTGAGTACAGATGAAAGGATCAAATCTGCAAAAGACCATTTCTGGTAAAAAAGAAAAACAAAAAAGATTATGCAGTTGTTATTAAACTTAGAAAAAGAATGGTGTTGTTCCCAGTTGTTATAAGTGCATTCATTTAGGAATGTTTTTCCCCCAAAGAATATTTTGCAAACAAAATGAAATAATAAAGCCAGTCAAACTTGGTAGTGGGGGGTATACCAACTTCAGTTGTATTATCAAAGCTCATTAACGTAAGCTCTAATAATGTAACATTGGCAACAAGGCCACATACTCTCCCACTTTCAGACCAACCAGGAGTATTGTTTTCCCTTTCATTATATAAATCTTTTAAATAGCTATACTAAACCACTTAGGATGGGTTGTTTTAATGCTTTCCAAAAAACGTTAATGTTATATGAACCATATAATATAACGCTACAAAAAACAATACATTTCCTGATGATTTTCCTTGGATTTTAAACAGCTTAACCCAAACTGATATTCAAAATAAATGTAGTTGCATGATGGGAAATAGAAACAAATTACCATATGGAAGCCTCCTGTCCCTCACAAATATCTTAAGAGATTTGGTGATCACAGAAAAAAATAATGAATGTACTTGTGCCAAATGTTTAGCAATAAAAATATAAGACACTTAATATCAACAAAATGAGCTTTGATTTTTTTTTTTATCATCTTCCTGTCTATGATTTGCAAAACGCCTTTCTGATTCAAGGCAGCAGCAGATGGCAGTAATACACAGAAGATTCACATTCTATCCAATTCGTACATAGAGCTTTGGCTAGAGAACTTCTCAGCCAAGAACACATGTAGTGTTTGTTCACTCTTGTTATTTTCTGGATGTTTTCTCTTTTCCTAATAATCCCAAATAGTTATAATAATTCAAATAGTTATGCCAAGTTTAATATGACCATATCCTTCACCTCTAAGAAGGACTGTTGCTGCTATGTAGAAGCTGCCATAAAATGCTGAAAATAGTCTTTTACCAATGGTTTCATTGTCAGAGGTCAAATCGCACTCAGTAATTAGATATAATCACCCTTGCCAAATTCCAGGTAAGAAATCCCACATTAACCAGAAGGAATGAGAAAGATTAGAAAATGATCAATAAATAGTTATGATCTTTGCCTGTCAAATTTTAATTTTCCTATTTTAAAATATACACATTTTAAAATATTAAACATTAAAGTGAATGGAAGTTTTCAAGGATAGAAGAAAAGGTATGTTTAATTTATTTAAAGAAAATATTGTGTAGATAACCATTAAAGTGGTGCTTGGATTTCACAAAACCCATGAGGTGAGTTTGAAGTGGTGAGATTGAGAATACAGCTAACTTCAGTAGGAGCTTAACAGATGCTGGGATCGAGTCCCTAAAACTGTATCCAGGAGATGCTCTGAGGCTGGAGAGGGACACTGGTGACAAGGAGGAAGTAGGTCAGAGGAGGCGGTGGAAGGGTAGGCATCATAACCAGCCTGCTTTACACTTGGGTTTGGCCTACCTGGAAAAACAGCAGTTATAGGGGTCACAGAGGTGAATGCTTTTCATGTGCTACCCTGTGCTGTTCTTTCGAATATGTTGGAAATCCTTCCATGGCCCCCCCACTGCCTTTGGTAAAGTTTAAATTCCCTTATTTCTCTGGGTCCAGTCTTCGGCAGGCTCATCTCTGCAGGCTATCCCTACTCTTGCCCATGACCTCTGCTCTCCAGCCAAGCCCAAGAATGCTTAGAGCTCCCTGCTGTTCCTTCTCCCAAACACCTTGAGGATAGCGATAGCCACCTAGTGGCAGAGCAGGAAACAGTTACTTAAGGGGAGTCTTTTATCTGGACATAAGCATTTTCAGCCAGCTCTGTCTGAGCCATTCTCTGATATGATTTTTCCCTTTAAAAGTCTCTGTGCAGGGGCAGCTGGTTAGCTCAGTTGGTTAGAGCACAGGCTGTTAACACCAAGGTTGCCGGTTCGATCCCCACATGGGCCAGTGAGCTGTGCCCTCCACAACTAGATTGAAAGACAACGCCTTGACTTGGAGCTGATAGGTCCTGGAAAAACACACTGTTCCCCAATAAAGCTAAAAAAAAAAAATCCCTGTGCATGGGATATAAACAGATGCCTCTTCTAAAATGCACGAGGGTACATAACTATGTAAACAACAAAATGCTGCTTTTGGGCGGAAGTCACAAAGGAATATGAAAAAAAATTGGCAATGGTTGTGCTATGGGGATAGAATGCCAGGTGGATCTCTTCCTTTTAAAAATTTAGTTGTATGAGGCATTTTTAGGAGAGTGATAAAAATGTCCTAAAACTACTAGATTGTGGAGTTGGTTGTGGAACTCCATAAGTTTACTAAAAATCATTGGATTTTTCTGGCACACAAATTATACCTCAACAAATTTCTTTATAAACTTTTGCTTATGCTCTTAGATGATTTTAGCAATGAGTGAAAAATTAGAAATTAAAGAACTGAATGAGAATTAGGTGCCTGATCACTTTAGTCATTGTCCAAACTTTTATTGTGATCCTGCTAGCCCTGGTATGTGCTTGAAAGATGTCATGATCATCAAGGAAGCCTAATCTTCTAGGAGTTTAACTGAATGCCTAACTCATGGATGTGGGTGTTCAGCTGTGTTCAGGGCCAGGCTGGTTCAAGTTTCATCACTTGGATCCTGAACAGGCTCGTTCAGGTGAGTAATCGAGTAATCGCTAAGATCTGTGTCAGCAAGGAAGGAAGAGTCCCAGTGGGAGGCCAGCCTTGGGGGGATAGGGAGGAGGCACCCCACGCCCAGCTGCTGGAAAGGGGGCCAAGCTGCGGCGGTTGGGGATATGGGCAGGGCATTAAGTGATATGTCTTAAACTCCCCTGATGTACCTCCCCCTCTGTTTCACACTGTACTGCCACGTGGCCAACCCTGCAGCCTTGCCACGCAAAACACACCTCACATGCTTCCCTAAAAGCATCTTTGAGGTTTCATCTCTCCCAGCAAGCCTGCCTCCGTTATTTCTTTTTCCCCTTAATTGGAAGGAATCTTTTCTCCTCTGAACTCCAATAGAATTTTATTCGCATACCCTCTCATACCGCTTTTCAGTTTCTTAGATGGGCCGTCATTATGGAGGTGCATACGTCCAGCACCCACAGCACCCCCCAGTGTGTCACCCCAGATGCTCTCCTTTGGGTGCAGCCGTGGGGATGGCACCAGCTTAGTGACTACAGGGACTTGGTTCTTTGACGTCTTTCTCTCAAAACCAGTACTTAAAATCTTTTAAAAAATCATTACATTATTTGGACTCTGATGAAAATTATGCATCTGGGTCCACAAAACTGCACATATTTGCATATGTACAGACATTTTGCATACAATTTCAGGGTGATCATGGACCCCAAGCCTGACTGTGAACCCAGGTTAAGAAAATCTGAGCTGGGCCTAGCTGAGTGGCTCAGTTGGTTAAGAGCTTGCTCAAGAGTTTGAGCTCTGAGCAACAGTGGTTCTATTCCCGGCCTGAGCTGAGCTGCCAACAGGTGGCAGGATGGCTCAGCTAAAAATAAATAAATAAAAAGAAAATCTGATCTAACTCTGAGGAATACAGATGGCTCACTGCAAAAATTGTTCAAGTTTGTCGCTCCCTTCAATTCTTTTCTCCACCCTCTTCTCTGCCCCACTGCCCCAGCCTCTAAAATGACCCCTTCCCCCAGTCATAGAAACCCTTATTCCCCCAGATCATGTCCAACAATAGGAAATGTTTTAAGTATATTTTCTACATCTACTTGAGAATTGGAAAGTTATGCAGATTTTAAAATAGAGAAGTATTAAGACTGGGTAGTACAAAGAAAAAATCTTACATGTAGAGTTTAACGAGAAAACAAAATCATACTGTGCTCACAGCCATGGGAGACTTATATGGAATTAAGAGCCAAGGAAACTGAAAATCAAAAGTGTAAGACATCGGGCTAGTGCCTGCTTTTCCATTGTTGTGTATTTGCTAGATGGTGTTATAGCGCTGTCTACATCATAATAAGAAATCTCATTCCTTCACTGTAGCCCGCTCAGGTAGTTAAAATAAGCAGAGCAAAGAAAATTTCCCATATAGTGTAAATAACACCATGTAAACACCCATATCTGATTTAAATGGGATTCTCCAAACCCAAAATGAACCCGAAAAGGGCCTTGAAGCAGCCAGGGTCGGGAGCCTTCTGCAAAGTGGAACTGTGGGCATCTTACTCCAACTTGACAAAGGGAGACACGTCAGGCTGAGACATTTTCCCGCTGTTTCTCCCAAGTCGGTTATTCCCCCTCTCGGGGAGGCTTGGGTTTTGAAGACAGCACGTGTGGTTCACAGGCAAAGATCCTGACCTATGTGGATGCAGCGATGTCAGCCTGAGAAGTCTCCAGAAGGCCTGCCTGTGGCTAAGGTGGGCAGTGGGACAGGCAGTGTCAGGCTCTGCTACTCAGGGAAGGGCCGGCGAGGATGAGAGCCTGCGGTACCGAACACCTCCAACCCCCGTGCCCCATTCCCGGGAAGATCAGAGGTCTCAGCATTGACAAGTTTCTCTTTCAATAGGTTCCACCTGGAACTTGCCACGCAGCTGCCAAAGGGGCGCCGCTCGGCAGGGGCCCAGGCGGCGGTGAGGAGCCCAGAGACACAAACCGCAGGGAACAGCCGGCCTCTGTGCTCGGCCCTTGGCTGGTCGGCGTCCCAGGGAGGTGACAGCTCTGCAGAACCTTCGGTGTCAGGTGAGGCAGCAGCACAGCCCCAGGCCGAAACAGGCGCGCGCTTTATGTGTTCTGGTGTGGGCAGGTTGACCCTGGCAGGAGGGCTTTCCCATTTTTAAATGGTCTTTCTTGCTCCTTGCCTCTTTCTTTCTGCCCAAACCTGTTGCCCCATTCCAGGGACACACCCCTCTCTGGCAGGTCCCCACTTCCAAGCGGTGGAGTGGGGCGAGGTGGGAAGGGCCCAGGGCCAAGCTTTGGATCTGGTGTTCGCCCCCGTTCTGCCACTCCTTGCTGTGTGCAAGCATTTCTTCTCTCCGGGTCTCGCTTTCTTCCTTTGCTCAATGGGAATGAGAGCACCTCCTGGACCCCAATGATTGGACGTGTGACCGTGTGAGGGGCCCTTGGGGGACATTGTTACCACCATTGCTCTGCCCACCGTCCTGACTCGCGTGGCCTCCATACTTATTCTCCTTGAAGCTTCAAAGCCAGCTCAAAAACTGCCTTGTTCAAAGAGGCTGCCGGGGCGTCCTGTATGATTAAGAGTCACCGTGGAAGTTTTCTTGCCTTTCTTTTCTTGGCATCCATGTAGGAACCGCGTTCCCAGGACAACCCTTGATTACACCCCTCTGGTGCTGGTTCAGGGCGTTCACCAGGCAGAGGCCTCAGGTCTGGGCGGTGGAACCATGACATTCCTTAGTCCTAGTTCCAGGCCCAGGGGAGGAAAACAGAGTCAGTGGGTGAGACACGAGACTGGCCAGGCGTGGAGGACCTGACCAGAGCAGGTCAGCGAGGAGGCGTTGGCAGGCAGAGGTACAGCTTTCCTATCTGGTCCTAGAGTCATCAGCGCAGTCAAATAATACTGCTTTATATTAATTTTATAATAATATTACTAAAATGTGTTCACCTGTGCAATATAGAACACATCATGTGAGTGAAATAAACAGCAGGTGATGACAATTATCACGGTGGCAGCTGAAGAGCATTCACTGAGCTCTTGTTGATTGGGGCATTGAGACATTGCTAAGTGCAACCATTTCCTTTCCTAATCATTGTATGAGGTGATGATACTATTTATTGTACCCATTTTTCTCTCTTTTTAAAATTAAGATATAATTGATGTGTAACACATTAGTTTCACGTGTACACCATAATGATTTGATATTTGTATCAAAATGATCACCATTATCAGTCTATTATAGTTACCATCCATCACCTCACATAGTTACAAATTTTTTCTTACGATCAGAACTTTTAAGATCGACTCTCTTAGCAACTTTCAAATACATAATACAATATTTTAACTATTGTCACCATGCTGTACGTTACACCCCCATGTCTATTTTATAAGTTTATATCTTTTGGCCAACTTCACCCATTTTTCTCAGTCCCACCCCCTGCCTCTGAAAACCACCAATCTGGTTTTTGTAGCTAGGAATTCCAGTTTTTTGTTTGTTTTGGCTTTTTTGTTTTATTCTACATATAAATGAGATCATATGGTATTTGTCTGTCTCTGTCTGACTTATTTCACTCAGCATAATGCCCTCAAGTTTCATCCATGTTGTCACAAATGGCAAGATTTCCTTCTTTTTTTTTAATGGCTAAATAATAGTCCATCGTATATATACCACATTTTCTTTATCCACTAGTGGGCACTTAGGTTGTTTCTGTATCTTGGCTATTGTGAACAATGCTGCAGTGAACGTGGGGTGCAGATAACGTTTTCGAGTTAGTGTTTTTGTTTCCTTTGGGTAAATGCCCAGAAATTAAATTGTTGAATTGTAAGGTAGTTTCATTTTTAATTTTTTGAGGCACCTCCATACTGTTCTCCGTTGTGGCTGCACCAATTTACATTCTCACCAACGATGCTCAAGGGTTCCCTTTTGTCAAGGGGCATCCTACCAATACTTGTTATCTCTTGTCTTCTTGATGATGCCATCCTGACAGGTGTGAGGTATCATCTCATTGTGGTTCTGATTTGCATTTCCCTGATGATTAGTGATGTTGAACATCTTTTCATATATCTGTTGGCTATCTATATATCTTCTTTGGGAAAATGTCTGTTCAGATCTCCTGCCCATTTTTAATCGAATGGTTTTGGGGGTTTTATTTTGCTATTTAGTTGTATGAGTTCTTTATATATTTTGGATATTAGCCTCCTCTCAGATATATGATTTGCAAATGTTTTCTCCGATCTCATAAGTTGCCTTTTCATTTTGTTGATTGTTTCTTTTGCTGTGCAGAAGCCTCACTTGTTTATTTTTTGCTTTCGTTGCCTTTACTTTGGTGTCAAATTTAAAAAATCATCGCCAAGACTGATTTCAAGGACCTTACCGCCTATGTTTTTTTTTTTAAAGCATTTAAAAAATATATTTTATTGGGGAATTGGGGGAGGGGACCAGCCTAGTTGTTGTTCTTCAATCTTCGTTGTGGAGGGCGCCAGTCTCCACCTGGCTTCCCGTCGGCAGCTCATGGCCTCTAAGCTCAAGGTGCTGTGTTCAATCTTAGTTGTGGATGGGCATAGCCAACATCCCATGCAGGAGTCGAACTGGCAGCCTTGTTGTTAAGACCGCACACTCGATAGATGGCACTGAGCCATCTGGGCGGCACCTTAGCTCAAGGTGCCAAGTTGTGGGTGGCCGTAGCCCACCATCAAACAGGCAGTCTTGTTGTTACACCAGCTGAGCCATCCTGCCACCTGTTGGCAGCTCATCGACAGCTCAGCTCGGGCACAGCGTCACTGGCCCATGTGGGAATCGAACCGGTGACCCTATTGCTCAGAACTCGCACTCTAAAGCCAACTCTTAACCAACTGAGCCACTCGGCTGGCCCCGATCTATGTTTTATTATACCCATTTTAATAAGGAGAAAACTGAGCCTCAGAATACTAACGTGTGCATGATAACAGTAGTAATAAGTGGCAAAAAATGGAATCTGATGAGGTCTTGTCATCTCAGGCTGCAATAACAAACTACCATAGATGTGTGGCTTAGACAACAAACATTTATTTCTCATAGTTCTGGAGGATGGAAGTCCAATATCAGGGTGTTGGCAGTTTGATTCCTGGAGGTCAATCTGATTCATGGTTTGCAGACAGTCTCTTTTTGCAATGTCGTCACATGGTGGGGGGGTGAAGGACGAGAGAGAGAGAGAGAGAGAGAGAGAGAGAGAGAGAGAGA